GGGCTGAACCGGGTAAGCCAGCTAGTGATTTATGTAGGAAACTGTTCCAAAAAGAGCAGACAGCGGACATCTTAACTTTATTGTAGGACAATCTATGAGCATGTTTTTCTTACATTTTTTTATTTCTTATTATTCGTTGCAGAATGCCGCAGCGTCTTGCTATATTCGCACAGTATAGTGCGTTCCTAAAACGGTGACTGTGAATTTGTTGTCATTGCTAGAACCCAAGGGCACCATAACTAATTGTCCAATTAACTAATCGTTATGGAGCGCCTCCCGAACTCACATAAACCTTTCAAGATCGCTGAAGCAATCAGTTGAGGTTCCGTCAGGTGCAATGACGACCGCTCACCTTCCCATGCTATAAGCATGCAAAGTGACTGACAATCAGCCATCCGTCCACGAGTCGCATTCAACTGATCCACTCTCATCAATTCACGTTTATTTGAGACGTGAACTGATGCAACTAGGATTACGAGACGCAGAGAACTTCGGGTATGTTGCTTCTGACAAAGGAAGGATACCAAGTCGCAGTGGCGAACCGAAATGATATGCATATCATTAGATGCGTTTTGGTAAGCTAATTCCAAATCTACCTTTTCCTTCTGCTACGAGCTTCTCTAGAAGGAAAAAATGTGAGACTGTTGGGATTTTGATGCCTAATGCGTTTAGAAACTAGCTTAGGAGTGATCAATTGGCATGCTTTTGGACACACTGAATACACTGACTACAAGAAATGCATACATACACCGAAGACATGAGTGAGCGTCTTTGAACAAGTAATCCTTGAAGATACGGCACTGAATGTTTGCTAAATTTGGATGCTCAAAGTGCATAGCTTCTTGTAGAGAAGCTTGTAGCAAATAGGAATGGTAGGCTTGGAATTAGCTCATCAAAACGCATCTAATGATATGCACATCATTTCAGTTCGCCACTGCGACCTGGTATCCTTCCCTTGTAAGTAACTTACTACACACATCGGTTTCCCTAACATTTCGGACAAAATTGGCGCAAAACGGCACAATACCGAGGCCCGAAAAAGAGAGGATCGATAAACAGCTGGTTTTCGCGTGGAAAACAGGTATAGAGTTGTTGGATTTGCTGACTTTTTTTTTGAAAAGCTGCTCAATACGGGAACTTATTGATTTATCTTATTGATTCATATTGCAGCCATTTCAATTTTCCATGAAATTTTATGTTTTTTGTTTTATCCATGTCCATGATAGCGCTCATAATCGATGTGCGATAGTGGCCGCTATCGAAGATTGCCCGGCGATGCAGAGCGTCGAACCACGGCCGCGCGTGTACAATTCCAGCCACTTACCCATATGACAAAACCTACTCAAGTAGGTCCTTTTTCAAGAACACACATGATTATCATGTTTAGGAAGCGATCCGCATCCAGATCAATAGCTCATGGGATGCCGGACTGAGGCTTTCTACTTACGTAGGCCCGCCCCAGCCAAATTGCGCTGAAGGGAGGGGGAGGGTACTAGGACCGATGTGTATGGCAACAAAATGCCGTTATCAACAAGAAACGCACACAATTGGACGATACTGTAACTGGTGCTCGCAAATCGTCGAACTTGCAGTATACAGGGTGTCCCAAAAAAATGTGAGCACTGTTCGATTGTTGATAACTCCCTTGCTTTCATGTTCGCCGAGCTTGAGGCACCATTCTATAGAGCGAGGTCTAACTTTCTACAGTATGGAACAAATCGTCGATCGCTCTTCATTACTGTAGGATTGCGGTGGGAATTTCGACAGGATTTTAGGCCATTGGAGGCCATATATTCTCCTCGGAACAAAAACAAACAAGCGAAAAACTTTTACACTATGGTAATGGCCGCTGAGTTCGAATATGGAATTTCCACCTTACTGTGATGCTTCTTTCCAAGGTTATCCCAGCTAAATAATAATGAATTTTCAGCATTTGTCAGAAATGTGACCACACCGTCAAAAAAGCCAAAAACACTCGTAAAAAGTTGTGTAATGGAATCAGTGTGCGCGAGAACCTTAGTACACGACTTTTCAGATTTTTGGAAAAAAAATTTTGTCAAATGGCATATTCACAGTAGATCCACATGCTAGAAGTTCATGCCGTAATCCTACAGTAATGAACAGTGATCGGTGGTTCGCTCCATACTACAAATCTAAGTTGAACATCGCTCAACAGAATGATGCCTTAAGCTCGGCGGAAGACATGAAAGCAACGGAGTTATCAACGATCAAACAATGTTCACATTTTTGGGACACCTTGTATAAGGGTGTTTTGTTTCCCAGATCAATTTCCCAGAACCTCGAGACGGGTCTGAAGCCGATAACAAAATAATTTCATTTGAAAGCTATGCGATAAGAAGCGTCGTCTATTTTGTGCGTGTGTGCATGTCTGTCTGTCACGAAAATCGTAGAGCGAGCAAGATTGGGTCTTGAGCCAGATTTTTGCACAACGCACGCTAGCAGCGACTAGGCTCAGCTTGCGCAATGACGAGCGCATTTGATGCACTGGTCCTCTGAAAATGGCACGTGGAATGCATCCACGCGGCTTTTGACATGGGAAACTAAATCGCTAATTCGAATTTTGCAAATTCATGGATTGTTCTCGCAAGTAGATCCGCTATGAACTTTAGCCCAAAATAAGAGTAAAAAGTCTGTCTTTACGCAAAGTCGGTGCCAAAAGAATTACTACGTGGATATTCAATTTGCCAAGGCCTTACTTATACAATCGAAAAAATTTTTTGACAGAGATGTATCGTAAGGTGATCGCAATTCTTTCGTTGACAACCAAGCCAAGAAAATTTAGTAACTCATTCAAAATCGCATCTGTTCTTCTGTAAAAAGTTTTTTCCTTTCAAAATTACCGGTCTTACATAGCAAAGTTATAGGAATGAGCGGTTATTTACAACCCATTTGTGATGTTCAGCATTGCGCGATAAGTTTCAAAGTCATCATTATGCGATCATGAGGCGTACGGATAGTAAAGCCAATGCAAACTCTGCGAAGCAGTGGTGACGCACTGGTTCTGGCCATGGATCAGTTTGTTGCAAGCAAAATGCACCCAACCGTAGAGGAAACGGTTGCTTAGTAATTCCAATAAAGAGCAGTTAACGAGGCCACTTTTTGAAACTTTTTGCCAAATCACGGCAATCAAAGAATTAAGCTCTAGGCGAAAGTAAAAGCTGTTAGATACACGAAAAAACTGCATGAAAAGAATTAAACCGAAGAAAGAAAAAAAGATTTTTAAAGACACGAGTTTGCCTGACTTCTCGTTTTTGAAAAATGGGGTTGGCGACGTTATCAGGGTGAAAGTAGAGATCAAGAGGTTCAATATGCTATAGAGTTTGCAGACAACAGCGAAGAAAAGGCTACCAGAGCCAAATGCCCATGCCCGCTTTTGGGGTAGGAGGTAGACGCTCACGAATTTGGAAGCATCAAAAAAAATTGCAAAAACCGGCTGTACAATTTCAAAGCATTCCAATGCAATTTGTTCACGTTATAGATCCGATGTAGAAGTGCCAAAAGTCGAAAATGAATGCTCGAAAAACTGCTAAAGTTGGACCTGATAAAGTGGTTGTTTGGAATTTTGGCAATTATTTTATTAATTACAAGAGCAACTAGCTCAAAGACGAAAGCAGGAAAGGAAAATCTGCGTCGAATAATGAATGAAACGTTGACTAATCCCACCCACTACTTTTATGATAGGCAAAAAAAAAGCAAAAGAATTTTGGACTTACAAGGGAAGGATACTCGGTCGAAGTGGCCATTTGGAATGAGCTGTATATTAGGAAAGCGTCCTCCGTAAGGCAAACTCAAAACTACTTTTGCTAGGTGCCGAGCGGTTTTGTGGGGGGAGTTACAAGGCCATTTTCCTCCGGCGCAGCCAGCGCACCCAGTGATGAGCGAGGCGCTAGAATAACGCAGCAGTGTGACAGTGGCGCAGTGGCAACGCAGCGGACTACGAAGCAGATGGTCGAGGGTTCGAGTCTTGTTGCTGCTATTTTGTTTTGCAGTTCTGTAAAAAGTCTATTGGGTAAGAGTAAACGAAAAATACTCATTTCTAGGCAGTTGAAACAAGCTATTTACTGCAAAAAAGTTACTATTTCTACAATAAGCCATAATCTTCTACAATATGTAAATCTGTGGAGGTTATGATGTCACAACAATGGATTCAAATGATATATTAACATGTATGGAATACAACCACAAAATGCTCAAAGTAGAAGAGCTTCTCGCAGCGCGCACACTTGCAAAATTGCAATCGATTCACATCGGACATCGGATGAAATATAAACGATGACAATCAGCAGCTTCACAATTGCCTATCAAAGTCTGTGAAACAGTACTCAATAGGAGACTCGAATTCGTCGGGGTGGTTGTCAATGTATCCGGCTGCATGCCATGGGTATGAAAAGAAAATTTTGAATCGCGGCGAGCAAAACTGGTGTAAATGAGCCATTCTTAAGGATGGAATCCCTATGATGCAAGGTAAAGTTCAGAGTTCATCACTGGGTGCGCTGGCTGCGCCGGAGGAAAATGGCCTTGTAACTCCCCCCACAAAACCGCTCGGCACCTAGCAAAAGTAGTTTTGAGTTTGCCTTACGGAGGACGGTTTCCTAATATACAGCTCATTCCAAATGGCCACTTCGACCGAGTATCCTTCCCTTGTTAGTTGGAAACATAAGAGATAAATCAAAGTACCGTAATTTTACACGTACAAAACGCACTTTCTTCGATTTTTTAGGCGTGCCGCTCAGCCGCCTCGTTGTGTTTCGGAGAAAACGAGACTTATGCGCACGATACTTCCAGGCAATATGCAGCATTGTTTATAGTTTTTTGGTCGCGAATTCCTTCGGCGTGTCTGTGCTCTTCGATTTTAGAAAAAAAATCCCTCGCGTCCTATTCGTGAAAATTAGGGTAATGGGATTCAACATCTTGCTTCCGCACGAAGAAAAGCGTTTAAATTTTGCTTGTTTCTATTTTTTTGAAAATTGTTACGTAACAATCATCTCATATTCATTCATTCCTCAAAAATTTGTAAATCAATTACATCATCAATATACATATACAATTGTAGTATTTTACAAAATTGCGGTAGCCACCGTTGGCCTACACAAGTGGAACAGATTGTGCGGACTGTCGATAAATAGTCAATTTTTCCCTAAGCCGGGTTGACACCGGCTGGATACGATGGTGTGAACTTGGGAGGCGGTGGTGTAGTTGTAGGTTGGCTGGGTGGTGGTGGAGTACGGGCACGCCACCACTGGAATGCGTTGAACAACCAGACCAGGCATAGGAGGGCAGATGTAAACTAAAACAAAAAAAGTCAATTGTAAATTCAACTTAGCTCAGCTTTTCTTCACAAGAAGGTTACTTTGGTTGAAAAATATTGATTTTCTCTTAAACTCTGCATCCTTAAATCTGTTAGTTGAAGTCATTCGCAATCCCGTACACTAAAGATAAAACTTTAAGCTGTATCCGATCAGAAACTTCTCTTCTTTCCGGCTGCCATAACCACAGAGTAATTTGATGAGGGAGTGCTGAGATAAGCGCTGGACATTGCAACCCTCGTTTTCACCATGTCTGACTTCCCATAATTTTCAAAAAGTGTCATACGATACCTTTAGGGAAACTTTGATAGCCAGCTAATAGGGCAAACTTTTTGCCAACTGAAGCAGTATTCTTGTAACTATGGCTTGTCTTTCAAAATTTCTAGAATATACTCTTTAAAGTAACCAAATTCCATAATCGGCTTATAGACCTCATGGATCTTGGGATAGTAACTGATTCAGGTATTATTCGATGCAACTTTTCCCCTTTCTAATAGTTGTCTTTTTTGGCGAAACCCGCAAACTGGAAATCGCAATGATCAATTTCATGAATGCGCACTGACGTACCCTAATTTCCAAAATCTTCATATTTTGAAGGGAAAATCGCTCATCAATTTTAAAATGTTAGTAGAAGTAGGAATCGTGTGTTGTGACCGCAGTATTCTGTAGATTTTACAGTTTTGTAATTACAAGGTATGCGCTTTTTCCAAAACTCAAGACTTTTGAGAAATTACTTGAAAAAAATCTAAAAGAGAAACTGGAAAAAGAGCAAAAATTGCTTCATTTGGCAAGATTTGCCCCACCCGATAGTTTAAGCTTCCTCAAAAGTCCTCAAATAAAATTCTTGAAAGTAGCGAAAGTTGATTAATCTTTATGAATATGCCGTTTCAACACACGATTATTGCTATTGCTAACATTGCAAAGTTGATTATCGATTTCCTCTTCAAAATAAGTTATCTTATATATAAAGCTGAATGTCTGTTTGTATGTCTGTCTGTATGTATGTACTTATGTTCCGAATAGAAAATTCCATTTCTTAACCGATCCGGACCAAACTTGGCACACATACACTTCGGGCCCCCGGCGGGTGTCATAGGCTACTTTTCGTCATCGATCAATATCGATTTTATCGGTTTTTTGGAAAATTGGAGCTACAGGGCTGGGAGTTGGCACAGGGGGGTAATCGAGCATGCTGATCACCCCCCGTGGGGGTGATCAGCATGCTTTTGTTTTATTGTCTTATTTTCATTATTTTATTCGTAATCAGCATGCTCGATTACCCCCCTGTGCCAACTCCCAGCCCCGTAGCTCACATTTTGCAAAAAATCGATAAAATCGATATCGATCGATGACGAAAAGTAGCCTATGACACCCGCCGGGGCCCGAAGGGTATGTGTGCCAAGTTTGGTCCGGATCGGTTAAGAAATGGAATTTTCTATTCGGAACATACGGCGGAGCCGGGTAAGCCAGCTAGTTGAAAATAAGAGTACGTCAGTACGTACTCATGGAATTGAAAATGACTGCGGTTTCCAAATTTCGTGGGTCTCACCAAAAAAGACTGTGAAAAGAAGGAAAAAAGATGCATCGAATAATACCTGAATAATTTACAATGCCATGTTCTATGAGGTCAGTATAAGCTGAAATTCAAAAAAAAAAGAAATTTGGTTACTTCAAAGAGTATATTCCAGAAATTTTGAGAGACAAGCCACAGAGTTATAAATAAATTGCTTCATTTAGCAAAAAGTTTGCCCTGTGTGCTAGCTATCAAAGCTTCACCAAAGGTATCGGATAAAAATTCTGGGAATAATAAAAAATCAGATGTGGCGAAAACCAAGGCTTGTAATTTATCTCAACACTTTGTAGGAGAGTCATCTAGGAATTTGGCAGCTGGAATGAGGAGGAAATTCTGTATCGGATAGCTTGAAATATATCTGTATATCTGAAGTATATTTGTATATCTTTATTCTAGCGTAGCCGGTGGATTCAAAAATTGACCATTCTTTTGCAGTGATCTAATACCCTTTGATTCAACTGGATTGGCGATTGGAAGGCGGGGTTTCGTGACAATTGAGGCCAGATAACGATCAGAGAGCACGCGCGCGACAGAGACGCAGACTGCGTCGAGGGCGCGAGCGGCCTTAGTTAGGTCACAATGCCCCGTCTTCCAACCGCCAATCCAGTTGAATCAAAGGATTATTCTATTTACATAATATCATTGCGTTATTCTTCATCATTCAGAGTTTCTACAGGTTGATGCATGAATTTTTTTGAATTGCAAAAAGTTGCAGAAAAAGAGTTTTTTCAACTTCGATGAAACCGTTTTTGATACAATGTGGAATCAAATACAGAGCATCGTAGATTGTGAATAGTAAAACATATAATCAGGTAAGTTTTTCCAAGCAATCGTTACGAACTTTCTTCCTTTTTCTTGCAACTTTTTTGCATTTTTCTCGACTTCGATGAAGTTTTAATTTGATACAATGTGGAATTAAGTACAAAGCTTACTTTAGATTTTGACTAGTAAAACATCCAATCAGGTAAGTTTTTCTGAACAATCATTACGAATTTTTCGTACTTTTTGTCGCAACTTTTTGCATTAACCTGATATTTTGGAAAACGTTAAGCTAACAGATCCTCTTTCACAAGCCACAGTCTCCTTTCCGATTTGGAAAATTCTTGACTGAACGTACCTAGGAATCTATCCTATCAAGACATAGAAGAACTTTCCAAAGAAGGAATATACTATCTAAGAATGCTATGGAACGAAATTCGCATGAGAAATCCAGTGGAATCAATAACAAAAAATTTGGGAACAAAGAAATAAAAGGCAACTTTTCTTTTATTATATTTGAAGGGCTAGCCAACAATTCAACCCAAAAGTTCCAACGTTATACTTAAAAGTTGTTCAATCATCCTCTTCATGATAAGGCAATTCCACACAAGAACAACTGTTCGCAAAAATTGAAATACTCACCACTCCAAGTAACAGCCAGAAGTTAAAATGACCAAACACGTTGACAAGAAAGAAGAAGAAGTTTATGGCTTGGAAGAGGGTAAATGCAGCGCTGTAGCCAATCTCCTATAAGACTTCTTTGATATAGGTAATTCACAATCAAATAAATTCAGCCACAATTATACGAAAGCACTTCTGCTTTATCGCGATTTCTCAAAAAGGAATTCGGAAGAAGAATTGAATTATATTTTTCTTATAAACTAGTATTTTCAAATGTGAGCGAAACTGGAGTTACGTGCAAGAATCAGTTCTTCTTAGATAAATAGTGATTCAAGTCCTTCTGGTAGCAAATTCATCACATACCGCTACTGCCCACATTGACGTTCGTACCAAGCCAATATCGACGAGCATACCCAACAAGACCAATACGCCAACTATCAACTAAAGCTAGAAAATATTTTGACGAATGGTTTTTTTGCAGGAGAAATGTTGGGTTAACCTGAATTATAGTGGTCATGATGACGAACCATCCGAATCCTCGGTAACCAGGAGCGAATACGAATATAATTTGGAGTATTATGAGTATCTGAATGATATTTTTCTAATTGCAGGCTTGTTAAAGCACATTTAAGAGTCCTGCAAAAATTGCCTGTGCGATAAAGTCCGCAATTTACGAAGAGTAACTTACCAATGAGGCTGGCTTCACAAGATGTGGCAGCTCTTTCATGTCGTAGAGTGCCATGGTTGATCTGTAAGCAACTGATGAACAGGTAAACTTCTCTTCCTTTGTGGAAAAATGATCAATTACGAACGAGGGCCGAGCATACTTCATGCGATTTCAGTCGCGACGCGATTTGGCAATTCGCCAGAAGTCTTCAGATACAACATTAGCAGACTGCACATGCATAGTGTGTATAGCTTACGTGGATTGATAAAATGTCCAATCTTCTGTACATTTAAAATTTGCTTGCAGTGAGTTATGCACAATTGAAATATTGCCAAATCGCGTCGCGCTTCAAATCGCGTGAAGTATGCCCGGCCCAAGATATAATCGTATCAGTTACAAACTAGCGTGAAGTAGCACAACCAAAATACAAAAATGTGTAGCGAACTGAAACAATAGATGCTCGGTGTCTCAAAACTAAAAAAAGATTTGGAAGAAAGGCTAAGGTTAGCCCTGAATATACCAAACCTCAAAAAGTCTTTTGTTCTAGCTGTCGAGATCCTGTGAGTTTAGTTTGGAAAGAAAAGAATGTTGAAAAGAGCCAAATAAGCTCTACAAAATGGCTTTCAAACTTTCGCACCAAGTTCGATTCGTGAGGTTTAAAGCCATGATCGAAAATGTCTTAATGCTCCCAAAAACAAAAAATTTGTTTCTTCTACCCAAAAGTTCACTTATGACCCACTTGCTCATACTACTTTCATTTATACAAATGCTACCTTTTAACCTTCACTACAAAGTGTATAATCACTATACCACGACCGTTATAAGTAAGGCAGCCGCTTACTCCTCGAGGAATATAGCATGGCGAAGGGCGATCGACAGTCGCGACGACTGGTAGCGATTGGCGATCGCCAGTTTTCGGCGACTACACTTTTTATATGTATCGATTTGACGTGTGGTAACTTGTTTGCGATCAATAGGTATATAAAGTACAGTGGCCAATATCGGCGACAAAAATCGCCGGTTTTACACGTATTTGATGCATATTGATCGTCGCCATGCTATACATACTCCCCGAGGAGTAAAGCGCCTGCCTAACCGCCTGCCTTAAGTTTTCAGCCCTCTGCAATCGCTGGGTGATATTAAATTTAGCTTCCCTTAGGATTCTTAGCCCAATAATATTATTCGCAAACTAGCATTTGCAAATGGCCAAAAATTTATGAATATACTTGCAGGTTTGAGTCTCACTGTGCGAAAACAGCCCAGCACTCCTTTAAGAAAATCATAAAAAATTCTTTCTTAGTTTTAAGTCGAGGAAAAAATAGCTCTATTGTGTATATGAATGGTGTGAGATATAAAAATGTAAGCGAGGAAAGATCCGTAGAACTTCTCTCAGAGTTTCTATTTTCTTTTCGACTTTTTGAGCATTTGAGACTTCAGATTTTGGATCCAGACACGTGGATCAATCTTGATGCGCAAGATTGAAAGCCATTTTGTAGAACTTGCCTTGCTCTATAGTGGTGACCCTATAAAATCCTAGAGTTTCTCTTGTTGCGGGCCATGAGATGAAAATAAAAAGCGACATTGTTTTAATTCTAACCTAATAATAATTAGTCAGATGATACATAATGCTAATAATTGATAAGTGGTGCAGAAAGTAACGGAAGCCTTTGTATATAGTTGCGGAGCACTTGAATATCACTGAGCTATCTGCGTAGAAAAAGTTCGTCGACATCTGCTTGCTTTACGAAGTTCTGGACACACGTAATACACCTTGTAGCTGCAGAAAAAGAAAGCTTCGTAAAACGTTATTGGAATAGAAATCCGAACTTCTATGCAACTAAAAGAGCTTGTTTCGATCGAGAGAGTTTACTTTAGTGTAACCTCTAAGCCCCATCTCTATGCATTGGAATACAAACACATAAGTTAATCAGATTTTCCACCACAAGCTGATTAGAGTTTAGTGGAGAAAGAAAAACACCTTGCAGTTTAAGTAAGGCTTCAAAGAAATTTGTGAATTTAGATCTCGGAATTTTGCACTATCATACGACAACTGATGGGAGATAATGTAAGGATAGAAATTTTCTCAATTCTAACTATTTTTGAATGTTCAAAAAATGTCCGAAAGCTTTTCCGTTCTAATGAGGGAACTCTTGATTGGTCAGTTTCTACTGTAATAATTTGAGCTGGCCTTTAATATCCCATCTAAAAGCAACGCCAATGGAAATGATTAGCGCGTTCCAGAAACATAACATATAATGAAAATTCTAGAAATTCCATTCGGGCATGCCGTGCTCGATTGACTTGTCCTTAATAGCTTTGCAAGTGTAAGGCAATTTTAGAAATAAGATAAGATAGTGTTAAGTGTTTATCCTCCACGTTCTACAATAAATTTTTATAATTATTAGGCTGTAAAGAAGTTCTGCCAATTAATCTCATGATTGAAAAATGAATGCGAATGCAAGGGGCTGGCTTGGGGTTGTGCTTTCAGTGTGCGATGGCAGCTATTGAAAGCGCTATCCAAATTGAAGAAATAACTACAAACTAGGAAGAAATTTCCCAAAAAAGGAAAAAAATCCGTTGCGCTCAGGTTTGCGAAAAGGACAATTTTCAGATTATAGACGCGCCGAAGTTGCTGAAGCTTGATTTCAAAATACGTTTTATGCCCATCGTATTGGATAGATGAAGCGACATTCGACTATAGCTTGCTTCGGTACCTGGGCTTTATTCCAGGCAAGAATTAGCACATTAAATTCAGGGTTCGAAAAAAAAACGAGCTCTCTACCAGATTCAATTAAAACATTTTAGTTCAACCTCTATTGGCAGAACTTTCTTTACAATCTGATAATTGTTCAATCCTTAAATCACTTCAGCGAACATACCAGAATGATTACTCGCACTTTAGAAAGGAGCTCAATGATTTAAATCTCAAAAAATAATTGAACTTTCATATTGCCAATACAAGTTCTGCCAACTATATAATCGATAAAATCACAGAAGTGGGAACTGACTAATTGTAAGTAAAACGAAATGTTAGTATAAATGTGTTCAACTAGATCCAGTTTGTGAACATGCACAGTCTATGAATCATGTATTTAGTGAAATGAGAATAAATTGCAATTTTCTTCAGGATTTTGGGGACAAATATGAAAATGGTGTGACTGTAGTCCACTGCTAATAAATGGATACACACAGTAATGATTGATGTTTTGATCGTTTGTTTTTTACACGCAAAGGAGAAATGGATGGAAGAGTAGAAAACACTTTGGTAGGTCATTTTAAAACCTTCTCCTACCGCCAGCACAGGGAATGAAAATCTTAAAAACTCCATGGAAAAAAATCTTTTCGATGATAAGACAAGCAAACGCTGCACAAAACATCAGGCCACTGTATCGATTAGAATTATGAGCTAGCTTCCGCTCAGTAAACTAGTTGAAATGAGTACGGACTGTTAGATTGACGGAATTTTCCACTTAAACGTTTTCTCTCGATTTAAATCTGATGCAAGGAACATTCATTTGATATTTTGCAGGCCAAGTCTGTGCTCGTTTGCTTAACATATCATTGAAATAAAATCCGTATTTATGTGGATGACCAAGCTGACTATACAAAATAAAATTTATTTGAGACAAATTTATGCGGCCGTGGAAGCATTCTTGAGCGTGCAACAGCTTCGAGCGTGGAAAACAAATGAGTCAAGAAACTGCGAGAGCGTTTCGGAGTGCCAAGACAAATAAAAGGCGTGACGAAAAGATCATGCATCGTGAATCAACCAAGAATCAAGAGCGCACAGCATTCGTGATATTTACTTGAGCAAAGGAGCAGGTCAGGAGATTGGTGAAGTTGGTCAGAATGCATTTTATAGAGGAAATTAAGGTATTGTTCGTACTATTCCAGTACGATTTCTTTAGATGAATGACGATCCACAAGTAAAATATTTATTCACAACTTGCACAATGACAAAGACATATGTTTCTATAATTTTGAGTTGCCTTACCTAGTGTGATTTGCCATTTGCCAGGTTCCTCGCCTGTCAGGGACGAGGCAGCTTGCCCATCTTACCTGCCCCCCGTTTCCCTCGGCTCCCCTTAAGAGCTATTGCTATTCTCAAAACATAATGTTGAACATTTTCCGTCACTGTGAGAACGCACATCGACATTGTAACAAATCATGAATTGGGGATTCATGACACTCCCCGCACATAGAAAAAGGAAAAAAAATTTTTTTTGTGTTGTTGTTGTTTTTTTTGGTTTTTTTGTTACCATCTTATGATAAGCAATTAAAATTACATTTGCATCTACTCCGGTGGGTCCTTCCAGAGCACTTCACGCTATATTTCCTGTTACCTTGCTTTACCTTGCCGATTTTTGCCACGCTTGTATACGGCCTTTCTTCGAGTTTGGCCGATGCACCATGTTCGTACTATTCCAGTACGATTTCTTTAGATGAATGACGATCCACAAGTAAAATATTTATTCACAACTTGCACAATGACAAAGACATATGTTTCTATAATTTTGAGTTGCCTTACCTAGTGTGATTTGCCATTTGCCAGGTTCCTCGCCTGTCAGGGACGAGGCAGCTTGCCCATCTTACCTGCCCCCCGTTTCCCTCGGCTCCCCTTAAGAGCTATTGCTATTTTCAAAACATAATGTTAAACATTTTCCGTCACTGTGAGAACGCACATCGACATTGTAACAAATCATGAATTGGGGATTCATGACAGGTATATTGAGACTAACAAATTCTGCTATTTTGCCAAATTACAGGTGGTAGCAGAGAAAAATTTTCACGTAAAGAATTGGAGAAAGGAAGGGAAGAAGCCGCCTTACTTAAAAATCGGAAAATTCTTGATGCAAGTGAGAGCATCTGAAATATTTAAGTTAAGTTTTGCACCAAGACTCGTTAAACTCAGCTAATGGCAAGTAAGACCAAGAGTGTCGCACAAGACCGCCAGACACGACCCCCCCCCCCCCATCACTTCCCCTTCCTTAGGTTCGGCCTCAATAGACCCCTCCGAATTACCCGTTTACCATGTAAGCATAGGAAAGAGTACCTCGTGACTAGCATGTCGCGTAAGCTCCATA